CCGAGTATGTTCGAAATACCTACAATGACACCATCCAAATTTTCTTTTGTTCCAAGCGTGTTCAAGACATAAACGATCGTGAAGCTCAAGTTCAATGTGTTCAAAATTATCACAAAAATAATCATAATGGCATTGTTGAAACCATCAATCAGTTAAAACTTAAATATTACTGGCCAAATATGCGATGTACTGTATCAAATTTTATTAATCAGTGTGATATCTGTCTTCGCAATAAGTATGAAAGACATCCATACAAACTTCCTTTGAAAGGTCCTCTTCTAGGTCAAAAACCATTCGATATTCTACACATAGATACATTTTCCTGTTATAAAGAATGTTTTCTGACTATTATTGATTCATTTTCTAAATACGCTCAAGTCTACCATATTTCAGATAAAACGACAGTCACAATATTCAGTAAATTACGTCACTATTTTTCGCACCACAACTATCCGAGGAAAATTGTATGTGACGAAGGCACAGAATTTTCTAATAATCTCTTCAAGGAATTCATGAGTCTTCATAAAATTGAGCTACATTTCATCACAGTAAACAATCCAAATTCCAATAGCCCTATTGAAAGGTTTCACTCGACTTTCATAGAAAAACTCAGAGTAATGAAAGACGAACGTCCAAAGGAATATTTTCAAGATCTAGTGACTCACTGTGTCCTAATCTATAATCAATCGATACATTCCGCTACTGGTTACTCTCCATTTTCTATCCTTTATGGCCCCTACGCCGAAGAAATTCAATTTGACGACGACATGCCAGTATATGAAAAATATAATCAACGACATAAAGACGAACTCCGCCCTTTTATCGATTCCCTATATAGGAAAATTCACAATAAAGAGACTAGAATTTTGGACAAACGAAACGAAAAGCACTCTGATTCTACCCCAGCCCCTAAACCTGGAGATCCTATTTACATTCACAAAAACCCTCGAAACAAGCTTACTGCACCCTATGTGTCAGCTAAGGTCACTTCAGCCAAAGAGACCCAAATAGAGGCTGTAACATCTAAAAATAGACCCACAAATACTCATCCAAGAAACATAAAACGCTTACGCAAAGCCCCCTTGTTACAGGACCAGCCACCTGCTGAGCCACAGCCTGGCCCTTCAAGTGCGCCCGATCCCCAATAATGGATATTACCAGGAATTGGTTGGTCAAGCACAAATGTTGGATCACTATCACCGCCATATTTTAACCATTAACTTAACTTCTATAGACATCTCCTTGAAATCAGCCTTGTTACACCCCCTCCTGTTCAACAAAATTTCGACTTCTGCGTACCAAAATGTAGTCACTCACTATACTCTTCTATATCAAGAAACTTTGGATAATTTTCATAAAATCGTTCGGTGACGTAGAAAACGTGGTCTAGTGAACATGTTGGGTACGGTGATAAAGTCCATCACTGGAAACCTCGATGAGAATGATCGTATATTTTTAGAAAAACATAATGATGCTCTTGAGAAGAAGCAATCCGAAATTATTACCGTCGTTAATAACTCCACCACCTACGCCTAGACACTATACAAAGATATAATAATTTTATTACAGCTTTCAATAAGAACTCTGTCAAGGTGGCACGGGAGATTGAATCCATAGAGAACAGTCTTGGAAAGTACTTTGCTCTTCATAGCGAAATTCTCAGCATGAGTAGCCTGAATCAATTTCTTCTCAAAATTTTAAGAACAATAAGCCTAGCAGCACTTCAGCAGTCAAATGTAGAACTTTTTACCCTGTCAGAAATAACTGATCTGGAAAATCATCTAAAATTTTTCTACAAGAAAACTTGTCTTTTGTCAGACGATCTGCATCCCTTTGAATTAATTGAAAATTCTTATAGCACAATAGTTATAACGGATACTCAACTCTTAATTATCCTAAAGATCCCTATCCTTGATGAACATCAGTTTCCCCTTTACCATATTTCCCCGTCCAAAACAAAGACGCAATCATTTTGATACCCCCGGCTACCCATTATGGAGACAATCATTGGTACCCTGACTGCAAGCACACGGAAAAGAAGATTATATGCCAATCAATGTCGTCTAGCAAATGCCAATTGCCAACATTGGAAAACTGTACAACAGCCATAACAGTTTTTCACCAACCGATCATCCACCGTACTGAGAAAATCTTATAGTACTGAGCACAAACAGGCAGATCCAAGTCTTTGAAAACTGTTCCGGAGAAGTGGAAAATGTCAACCAACCAGTAATAGTCCAGTCAACATGTGCAGTAAAAATTGACCAAAAATGGTATACTACATCAAGTCAGAAGATCCAGATCCCAGATGTTGTTCCTGTAAAACTGAATCCCAAATTCCAAATACACCTGGACCAGATCGACATAATTCAAGAAACACCCCGACTGTCTGTGATCCAGCCAACGCATCTAAGGCCCATCTTCATATCATCCATATCTTGGACTGTTGCAACCCTGTACGTCATCCTGGCTGCAACCATTATGTATTGCGTTTCAAGAAAACGAAAGAGACTACACACCCTGTTCTTCAAGCCAAGGCTTCCCTTGAAGGATCTTCAAGAACTTCAGGCCAACCAGCAGAAGTTCGAGGACGAACTTCCATCCTAAGGAGGGAGGAGTTATGTATCCAACCGGATACGGTAACCATACGTCGGCACATGAACGGCGTTCACCTTTACCGGAAATGCAACATAGACATTTTTAGTTTACTTGGTTTTATTTTTGTTAATCAGTTCAGTTCATAACTCATCTTTGTAATAGTCGGTCGTACTCAAATAAATATTTTTTAAAAAGTAAAATCCTGGCTTCGAGAATTTATCTCGGGAGATTTTGGAACTTCGGGTGTTTTAAGTAGCTTCTTCACTCCACGAATGTCCGACAGATCGTTCATGGGAGATTTTTGTACTTTAGGCGTTCGAAGCAGATTCTTTACCCCGCGAATGTCGGACAGATCGTTCTTGGGAGATTTTGGGAGTTTGGGTGTTTTGAGTAACTTCTTCACTCCACCAATGTTCGACAGATCGTTCTTGGGGGATTTTGGGACCTTGGGTGTTTTGAGTAACTTCTTCACTCCACCAATGTTCGACAGATCATTCTTGGGAGACTTTTGTACTCTAGGAGTTTGAAGCAGTTTCTTTACTCCACGAACGTCCGACAAATCGTTCTCGGGAGATTTTGAAACTTGTGGGTGTTTTAAGAAAAATTGTACGATGGATGTCTTTTAAGTTTTGCATATGGAAATAAAACAACACGGTAGGTAGTTTTAAATGACTTTATTGTTTTTTGAAGTATTCTCCACGAAGATTAATACACAAATGCATGCGCTCGAACCAATTATTCCACTCGTTTGCTGGCAGATCCAAAACGGCATGTTTGAATGCGTCAACTGCTTCTTCTGGAGACTGGAAACCTTGACCACTCAGTCTGTTTTTAATTTTCAGGAAAGTAAAGAAATCCTTAGGACTTAGATCGGGACTATATGGAGAATGGTCCAATAATTCCACGTTTTCTTCCGTTAAATACTGCCTTGTTTTTTGGGCTGTGTGCGAGCTTGCATTGTGCATTGTGCATCCACGATTCATCACCACTAACAATGCTGTACACATTTTTTGAGTTTGCGGAATTGAAACGGTCAAGCGTTTTTTGATACCAATTAACCCTGGCTGCTTTCTGCTCTTCAGTCAACAGGTGGGGTATCCAACGAGAAACTAATTCTCCTACTCCTAATTCTTCATGTAACATTTTTTGAATTGAGGTCTTTGAGATCTTCAAGGATGCCTTAATCGTCCGACATGTCATATGTCTATCTTCAATGATGAGTTTGCGCATAGCATCGACGTTTTCCTGGGTGACCTTTGGTGCACCCACACTGGGATCGTCGCTAAGACTCGCCCGTCCACGTTTGAATTCTCCATAGCAACGGGAAATTGTCGACTGATGTGGCGCTTCGTTGCCGAAAACAGACAGTAGCTCAGCAAGGCATTCTTGTTGCGATAAATGTCTCTGAAAATTGTAATAAATTATGGCGCGAAAATGTTCTCGGTTGAGTTCCATTTTTCTAATGACTTGGTGACACTTGAAAATTCACTGTAGTGAGAATGCTGCACGTATTGTTGTGAAACTTTGAACTTAAGTTTACTAAAGAGTGAGGTTAAGATTCAGTACTGACATTCGATCCGCGCAGCCTACTATGTTTCTATATGCAAAACTTAAAAGACATCCCTTGTATTTTACATTTTCTCTGACTGTCATGTGAAAATAGTCATGCTGGTCAAGCCACAGACAAGCTGCATTTTATGTAATTGGTCAATAGCTTCATTATCACAAAAGATAACCCAAAAATGTTATTCACATAAGTGATAGCTCCTTATCTGGGAAATATGCCGATCTCTACAAAGAATTGCAGTGCATCACATTTTTAAATGTCCTGGATATTTTAATATATTTTGTATAGATATACAAATTTGAAAAGTTTTGTTTGTTACACTACCTTAAAAAGTGTCTGAGTTACAAGTTGTCAAAGTTAGTTGTTTTTTGCATAAAATATCGTGTAGCTCCAGAAGCAGCGATCCAAGCGCTAAACTTTTTGTAGAATATACTATAAAAAAGTAGCATTCCATTTAAAAAGTAATAAATCACCCTGTATATAATAACTGATTAATTATTTTTGAAAATAATGGAGTTATTGAGCTATTACACACGGAAAACCCATCCTGTATATATTTTACCCAAAGTATGATTTTATCCAATGAATATTGTGAATTCGCTAATGTACCTTAAATAGACGGAAGCCATAGAATCATGGACTAGAATCTGTAAATATAGATAAGGATATATGTTATGCAGTGGTTGTGTTCAATAAAGAATGATTAAAAGCTTTTAATATTACCATTTACCTCGATTAGAGTTGAACGTTGATGATGATTTGTTTTACTGTCTTGTCAACTCACCGTGTAATTCTTGAAGTCACATTAAAAGGTGGAATGGAATTTAAGATCATGTTTGTACAAACACTAAAGGAATTCGTTATTAAAACATTGCATTTATAAAAAATAAACTATACGAATAAAAACGCAAGACATATTTACATTAAAACAAATAAAAATAATGTCAGATCTTATTTCTATTTCTTGCGTCGTCGTTTTGCGGTTAAAGGACTTTCCGATACAAACTCCTCTCCGTATTTCTCGTAATCGCCTTTTGCCCTTCTTGATCTTTTCGGTTTTTCTTCTGCAAATTAAGTTAAATTTAAAAATACAAAATTAAGCTATTCAATGGCTGTTCGTTGGTTACGCATCAATAAGATAAAAAGAGCGCAAGAATTGGGTAATTGACAAGCCGTATTTTTGGATGTTTTTTTGAATGAATATCAATAAGTCGAAAACTGTTCGAAAAAGTGGCATAAACCTTATATAAAAAAAAAATCTCAAGGAGGGCGATTTAATGATGTACAAATATACATTTGAAATTTATAAGAAAAGGCACATTTTACGTTTTGAGATGCCCTGAGGAAAAAGAAAGATATTTTAGCATTTCTTTCAGATCAGCTTAAAATCGATGATAAAATTTTTGTGAGCTAAAATTTAAATTTGGGATTTTTTTCAGACATTTCACTAAATATTTAAACAATTATTAATCGAAATATGCAATAAAAGATAGTGTATTCTATTTAGGCAATACATGCTATGGAACACCCCGTATAAATTAAATTGATTTTAAAATATGCACTGGTAACATATCCATGTTATAAAGAAAACAGATTTTTGAAATCTTTTCCAGTTTGCTCGTAAACCGCTTTCCATTTTTGTTGGGACACCCTGTAGATCTGGGCAGTATGATCCAAAATGTTCATGTTTACAAGCTCCATATATTTCATGTCAACAGAATATTGGAGATAGTAATATAACCAACTATGGTTATCCCATCTAAAAATTAAAATGAATCACAAACTTGGAACTTCCCAAGATATTTGACCATTCGTAGATTTTGGAATAACCTTAATCAAATTCAAGCGAATAACCAAATGGAAATGGTATTTACCATTTTGGGTTGGTATTTACCGATCCGTTCAAGCGAGTGTAGTTATCAGTTTGGTTATAAGATCCGTGACGTCACGAATCAGCTGTTATATGTCATAGTTATCACCGCAAACTTGTGGTATTTACCCAACTCAAGAGTAGTTTTATATTTCTGGTTATTATTTGAAGTGTGACAAGTTAGAATTTTGCCGGGTATTGGATATTGTTATTGTACTTCAGCTTCATTTTTGGGAAGCTTGATACAGGCTGACTTCAGTTTTACCATAAAGTGGAGCACCTTTTTAGTTATACTCATCACTGTTATTGGGGACACTTTAAATGTAGTTCCTATGCTTAACAAAGTACCTATCCTGTGTAGCCATATACCACAAGAATATTAAAATATGGCCATATAAACTCACTAGATGATGTCCACCTGTATTCAGTTTTGCTAATATCTTTTTTCATCATTTCTGCTGAATCAATAAATATTTTCTTTGACATGCGGAAAACTTTAGAGAATTGAAAGTTATCATAGCTACAAAGCCATGGTTCCATCATTAAAAAAAAATCTGAAAAAGAAAACATTTCTCCCATGAATATTATGAAAGGTTTCTTGTTTAAACTTTCCATACACAGTTGTAGACGAAAAAGCACCGATTATTAAGTGATAATAAAAATAATCGGAGATTATATACGCGCTTTTTTAAAATAAACAACTTGCAACAAAACCGTGGTTAAAACCGACGCGTTCAAGCGATTCGTGTAACTGACGTCATCAACCCGTGAACCATATTATAACCGCGGCACATAACACAGACATTTTGGTTATTCGCTTGGTTTGATTCTTGTATATTTAACTATTTTGATATGATTCTAGAATTTACCTTCAATCTCCTTTACTTTCTTATTTTTTAATCGCCGGTGCTGAACAGGCGTAGTAGCTTCATTTGATTCAGCTACCTCCATGAACACATGTCTCCTAAAATAGGTAGGATCTTTCTCTTCTTCAACATCTTCCTCATTGAGTGTAGCCTTTTTCTGTCTACCTTTAGTAACTTTCACAGATTCAACAGTTTGATCTTTTTTCGGTCTTCTGCTTGTGGTTTCGTCGTTAAGGCTAGGGTTAACAACTTTTTTTTTACCTCTTGTAATTCTCATAGGTTTATCTTCAGAGTCATTTTTCTCGATCTTCTTTTCTTTGTTATCTCCTGATCTGCTGGCAGTTTCATATTCGGTCCTTTTGTTAATGTTCTTAATACTTTCTCCATTTTCAGCCTTCTCATTTCGCTTGGATCTGCTGATTGGTTTCACTGATTCATCTACATTCGTTTTGCTCGCGCCTGAAGTAACACTTTCTTCAATTTTGGTTTTCAAGTTTCTTCTTGGCCTGCTAGCTGTCTTCACTACTTTGTTTTGAATGTCTCTCTCACTGTCTTCTTCGACGCTTTCTTCAACTGTTTTATTATTCCGCCTGCCAGCTGGTTTTACTGCATTGCATTCAATGTCTTTGCTAGTGTCTTTTTCGACAGTTTCTTCAATATCGGTTTTCTTATTCCGCCTTAGCCTGCCAGCTGGTTTCACAGCTTTGTCTTGAACATTTTTGTCACTGTCTTTTTCGTCAGTTTCTTCAAGTTCGGTTTTCTTATTCCGCCTTAGCCTGCCAGCTGGTTTCACAGCTTTGTCGTGAATGTTTTTGTCACTGTCTTTTTCGACAGTTTCTTCAAGTTCGGTTTTCTTATTTCGTCTTGGCCTGCCAACTGGTTTCGCGGCAACTTCTTGAACGTCTTTGGTCGTGTCTTTTTCGACAGTTACTTCAACTTCAGTTTTCTCATTTCGTCTAGTCTTTATTGCTTTATTTTTTTCGACAGTTTCTTCAAGTTCGGTTTTCTTATTTCGTCTTGGCCTGCCAACTGGTTTCGCGGCAACTTCTTGAACGTCTTTGGTCGTGTCTTTTTCGACAGTTACTTCAACTTCAGCTTTCTCATTTCGTCTAGTCTTTATTGCTTTATCTTCAATATTGTTGCTAATACTTTCGACTTCTACTTTGGCTGGTTCTGCAACTTTCCTCTTCTTACCTCGTGTTTTCTGTTCAGGTTCTTGTAGAATATCGGCTGAACAAGCATTTTCATTGGTTTTGTTCTGTCCTCTCTTAGGTCTTGTCTTCTGAAGACTAACATCAACAGTTTCCCCAACCTTCTCAGGGTTGTTTTTCTGAGTTTTTGGAGTTTTTCTAACTTCATTGAGGGTTTCCGAATCCTCGACATTAAAGTCCTGTTGATTCACCCATTGCTCAACCTTTTCATTTTTGTCAGAAACATCCACGTCATCTTGATCTCCCAATTGCTCTTCAGTTCTGGATGTAGAAAGTCTGCCGCTGTACTTTCTTACCGGTTTCTTGTTGAACAGAGAATCAAATAGTTCTTCTTGTTTTTCAATGAACAGGTCTTTAACCCCAGACACATTAGATAAATCGTTAATATGTTCTTTTAGCGGTTTTGGAGTAGACATTAACATTTTCAACGGGACGATGTTGCTAAGATCATTCTTGGGAGATTTTCGTACTTTGGGCGTTCGAAGCAGTTTCTTTACCCCACGAATGTCGGTCAGATCGTTTTTGGGGGATTTTGGGACTTTGGGTGTTTTGAGTAAGTTCTTCACTCCACCAATGTTCGACAGATCGTTCTTGGGAGATTTTTGTACTTTAGGAGTTTGAAGCAGTTTCTTTACTCCACGAACGTCCGACAAATCGTTCTCGGGAGATTTTGGAACTTCGGGTGTTTTCAGTAGCTTCTTCACTCCACGAATGTCCGACAGATCGTTCTTGGGAGATTTTGGGAGTTTGGGTGTTTTGAGTAACTTCCTCACTCCACCAATGTTCGACAGATCGTTCTTGGGTGATTTTGGGACCTTGGGTGTTTTGAGTAACTTCTTCACTCCACCAATGTTCGACAGATCATTCTTGGGAGACTTTTGTACTCTAGGAGTTTGAAGCAGTTTCTTTACTCCACGAACGTCCGACAAATCGTTCTCGGGAGATTTTGAAACTTTGGGTGTTTTAAGTAGGTTCTTCACTCCACGAATGTTCGACAGATCGTTTTGGGGAGATTTTTGTACTCTAGGAGTTCGAAGCAGTTTCTTTACTCCACGAAAGTCCGACAGATCGTTCTCGGGAGATTTTTGTACTTGAGGAGTTTGAAGCAGTTTCTTTACTCCACGAATGTCCGGCAGATTTTTCTCGGGAGATTTTGGAGTTTTGAGCAATCTCTTCACTTCACGAACGCCTGTTAAGTCATTGTTTGGAGATTTTAGAGCTTTAGGCGTGTTAGAATCTCTGGTTGAAACGGAAGATGCTTTGGACAATGGGATATTCAGGACTTCTTCAATGAACCTACTACATTGTCTTGTCGATTTTGAAGTGAGATTCATTTCATCAAACTCTTCTGTTTTGGGTGTACTCGTTAGCTTTTCAAGTTCACCTTTTTCTGGATCGAGTTCCAATGCGACGTCCTCGTCTGAAACAGATGTAAATACAGGAGAAGCCGTTTGAGATACAGATATATGTTTCTTTGAATCACTGGGTGTCCTTGATACACTTGTTTCAAGTTTGGATGTAGAAAACGAAGCTTTTGAAGCACGCGTACTCCTTATGCCATCTTCAAGATCCTGTATGCTTGAATCTGCCATTGATCTTCTCGAACCTGAAACAAGCTTTTCATCATTTCCACTGCCTGTTTTTAATACTCTTATTAAGCTCATCTGAAGTTGGTTGATGTCAGGCGATGACTTCCTCGATTGAACGGTTTCCCAAGCACCAGATTCACAAAGAGGTGTTATGACACCAGCAGTTGGTGTTTTTGTCAGCCTCCTTGAAAATGACATGGAAACTCTTGGATCATTTATATTTATCAAACTAGTCTCAGATGCAGACTTTTGGCTTAGTGAACTTGTTCTTGTTCTAGTATGATTGGGAATCTCATAATCTGCTACCACACTTGATCTTCTTGCATTACGTGGGAAGGAATCACTATTTTTCAGAGATTTTCTGGAAGCACTTTGTTTTCTAGACAATGATTCTGTTACATCTGCTTCAACAGTGCCTTCATCATATCGGAAAGCACTCGGTGCTTCCAATAAGTTGTCCCCTAGATCACAGATTTTAATTACATCAGGGCTCTGATCACTACTTGATGTTTTGAGACTTATGAGAGACCCACTGACTCCTGACAGATCAATACTAATAAAATCAGCTGGATACTGACATGCGCTTGACCGTCTCGTGGACCTTCTATTGATTTCTAAATCGTCACCGCCTGCTCGAGTATTCGATTTTGAGCTTCTCAATGACCAACTTCTCTTTTTAATCTCAATGTCAGGCGAATCCAATTCTTGAGAAGTTGACGAAGATTTTCTGGTTTTGCTGACTTCTTGAAGGTCATCGTCGTACTGATCAATGACTGATTTATCTTTTTCTACATCGAATGTTTCAGCGGAGTTCCGATGTTTAGATGTTGACAGTGACCGTTTGGAAGTATTAGCTGTAGATCTTGTGGCAGCTGCGTTCAAGTCTGGGAGGCTTGCATACGTCTTTAGAGTCTCCACTGCATTCTTCACTTGGAGAGAGTTGATTCCTCTAGGTGATAAAATGGAGTTCTTGGGTCCATTGCCATTTAGGAACACATTTTTTAGTGTTCTTTTTCCGCTAGTATTTAACAAGCCCTTACGTGATTGATCTACTCGAACCGTTTTCGATAGATCTAGTAATTCATATTCAGACGAATCAAAGCGGCTTGATGCTCGAGACAATCTTTTGGTCTTATCGGCGTCTACAGTTTCTTTTGGAATTGAGCTTGCTAAAACCTTATTAGTTCTTGTAGAATCATTTTGAGCATTTTCCGTCACAGATGTCTTGGATGCACGTGTTTGTAATTCACTGCTAGGCGTTTTTACTGCGCTTAGATCAAGAATTTCATATTCAAGTTTTTTCATTGATTTCGGCGTAGACATCGATCTCTTCATAGCATCTAGCGGAGTCCTGGTAAAATTCGTAGATAGTCTGGGAGACTTTATAGCCTTGGCATTTTCAGTCAATTTTAGAGTTCTACTCGATCTAGAAGAATCAGTTACTATTGTTTCATCCATAGAATCCTGGATTGTGTCATTCTTCGGTGACTTGTTTTGAGCCGACATAAAATTTTTTATTCCGAATATATAAGAAAGACTTGTGCGCCTACGCATCAGCTGTTTCAATCCGACAAATTTGGAAAGATTTTCAGAAACATTCAGTTTTGGAGATCCTTTGACCGTTTTGGGAGATTGTTGCAATCTTTTTAATTTTGCCGAGGCTGGTGAGCCGATCAGTAATGATTTGTTCCTTATGAAGTGACTTGAGGCCGAGGTAGTGGACTTGACGAAATTGCTAGTCGAAGGTTTGGGAGATTTGTCTAACAGATCTTCTCGAAGTCCGTTCTCCAAGAGGAAACTACATTTGACGATTGGTTCCGGACCATCGAGATTGTCCACAGCGATAGTTTTATTGTGCCTGGATAGTCGTACAGACTTCATTTGCCTTACTCTCGGTTCAGACAAGACCTTTGAGAATGGTTGATTCGCAAAAGAAGCAATTGTCAGATCAGAAAGCCTATGCTCATGGTCTGTTTGGTCTTGAGATATTTCAGGCCAATCTTCAGTTGAGTTGAAAGACTCGACACTTTCTTCTACTATCTGAAAGAAGAATATAGTCATCTGGTCATTAGGATTTTGTTTTAAATGTATGACGTCCTTTAAACGTCAGCCTAGATTTCTGATTCTATTTAGTAAAGAGAAACTCAAATGATTACCTCAACCTCAGAAGCGTCTTCAACTGAGTACGTTATCGTCCTCCTTTTCTTCACAGAGCTTTGAGAAGCTATGCTAGAATTCCTGCCCCTTTTATTGTTGATATTCTGCTCGCTTTCTTCAACAGCAGGCTCTTCTTTCTTGCCGGATCTCCTCGTTCTAGACTGTAGAACGCTCTTCCTAAGATCTTCGAATAGGCCAGGAGTATTGAGAGGCGTTTTGATCGCGTCATCACCCTTCGAATTCGGGGGTGTCGCGGGAGACACATCTTCCACGACTGGTGCGTAGACTTGTCTTGGGCTGCAAAAAAAATATTGGGGACTGTTTATACAGAGAGCATCTAGTGCAAACTGATCGGCAGGGTTATTACGTGAAAAACCTATGTAATGTCAAGAAAAAAATAAATTAAATAACCTGTTGACAGTGTACAAACAGTTCATTTCGCGCCTGCTACAAGTGAGAATGAAGTGAACAACAGCTAGATCCTGGTTGACATTTTGCAGGAAAACCTACATGATGTCACTTTTTTAATTACGTAATACCCCTGTCAGCACATGTATTTAGATACAGTTCTTTCCATGGTTTTTGGCGGTTACATCATCAATGCCATACTAAAAGTAAGCAAACCGGCTAACCGAACCATATGAGGAGCTTAAGCTCCATAGAGGTATTGCGTACTGGGTAAACTGATCTTAAACGCAGCTGCTCTGGCACATATGAATTAACTAAAAAAGGACCCTTGCTATCATTGACTTTCTCAAAATATTACAATAATTTTGGAAAAAACTATTGATATTGTCCGTTAGCTGTATTTTCAGGTATTACAATGGTTAATAACAGATAAACTCAAAATGGTAGACCCATGTCAAGTGGGTTGTCACACCGACAGTGACAAGAATAGATTAGGAGTACTCATACGTTGACGGTACAATTTTAGAAGTGGCTAGACGAAGCTAAACGTTTAGTAATGGACAAAAGTATATAGACAAATATGAATATTTAGCTAAATACCTTTAGAAAACGAATTCATACCTCATTGCTCCATAAACAAATCCGCTATTAGTAGAAAAACTAAATTCCTTGTTTTTACATTATCTGCAATGAACACAATACAAGTCTGAATATAAGCACTTTTTTATGAGGGACAAAGATATGTAGACAAATTCTTTTCAACATTACTTTAGTGCAATCTCGTGTCAGAAGAGAATTAGTTTGTGTTTATCAAGTATTGTGGAATAAGTTGAGTGATTTAAATACCATGCCGCATGGTCCAGAAATATCTTCAGATGTGAAAACTATACGATCATTGAGTTATACAAAGATGGTCGACGTCAAGTCGACATTGTCAACAATTTGAAGCTGAAGCGTAAAGCAGTTTGGGCAATATTGAACGAATATAAACAAAAAGGTATCTTGGAAGCCTCTAAGAGAAGTGGTCGGCCTAGAAAACTAAATGCTCGATCAGTTAGATTAAAAGTAATTTCGTCCAAAGATCCGTTTAAAACCCCACAAATAAAATCCGAAATCGAGACAAAAGGACTTCTCAGTGTTTCTACGAAAGTAGAAGATTAAATGATTTGAAGTTATTTGCACGTCGCCCGAGTAAGAAGCCGCTAATCTTGAGGAAAAACCGTAAGGACCGATTACAATTTGCACGGTTGCATCTTAATTGGAGCATCTGTGACTGGAAGAGGGTATGTTTCAGTGACGAATCCAAGTCCAATATGTTTGGATCAGATGGTGTCCATTACGTTAGACGTCCTAGTGGACAAAGATTGAACCCCAAGTACACTTTGCCCACTGTCAAACATGGAGGGGGTCGGTTATGGTTTGGGGGTGCTTTTCGGGGTTTGGGATGGGACCTTTACATAGAATAGATGGCATTATGGATAAGTTTGTATACACAGACATGCTAAAGCATGTCATGTTACCCTAGATAGAAGACAATATGCCCTTAACATCAATCTTCCAGCAAGATAATGACCCGAAGCACACTTCAAATCTCGCAAAGAAATTCTGTCTTTCTACTTAGATAAGGAAAAATACGAGATAAAAATTATTAAAACAAGGATGAACTTTTTGCCGCTTTAGAGCAAAAGTGGAGACAGATTGATGAATCTTATATCAAGAAACTTCTACAATCTATGCCGAGACGATGCCAGGCTGTGATTGATAATAATGGTTATGCCACAAAATATTAACACAAACATGATTGGTTTTCTATAATTCAATAACTTTGCTTCTTTCTTCTATAATTGTTTCGCTTTGTCTATATATACTAAGTGACATATAAATCCGAACACCCAGTTTAAATGGTTTTATTTTAATAAAAGTTGGTGAATGTATTTATCTTACTGTAAATAACAAGTGAAAAAATTTTCAGCCTTATCAGTTGGACATTCCGGTTTTTATACTGCTTTTTTTTAATTCACTAACGCTGGGAAGCTGGACTTTCTTTTCGGGCAATTGCAGTTAGAGTGCAAAGAAGTGTAGACACTGTGGTTAGGTGTTGTCAGGCATGGCTTCGAGAAGGCCGTACGCAAAGAGCAAGGGGCACTGGACGCCGCCGTAGAACAACAGACCGTGAAGATCGCCGCCTAAGATTATTGGCCTTAAGGGACGGTTTCTCCACTACCACCTGGATGGACCTCCATTGCAAATGAATGGTTTGCAGAACACGGAAGACCTATTGGCATGCGAAGTGTTTACCGACGAATGAGAAGTTTTGGCTTGTTTTCATACCGGCCACACTGGGTCCTTCCTTTAACTCTAGAACACCGACGTAATCGCCTTGAGTGGTGCAGACAACGGTCACTCTGGGATCAGGAATGGGACAGTATTGTCTTTAGTGACGAGTCTCGATTTTGTTTAGGCATGCACGATGGTCGTGCCATGGTTAGAAGGCGACGTGGTGAAAGGAGGAATCCACAGTTTTTTGTTGAAAGACATGTTCATCACACTGTTGGAGTTATGGTTTGGGGTGCTATAGCTTATGGTTCCAGGTCACCTTTAATCTTCATCAGAGGTAACATGAACGCGCAGCGTTATATCCACGAAGTTCTAGAACCCCATCTTTTACCCTATCTTGACACCCTGGCAGATCCAACTTTCCAACAAGATAATGCCCGACCACATGTTGCAAGAGTCACAATAGACTTCTTTCAACATAATGATGTCACATTGTTACCATGGCCACCAAGATCTCCCGACTTATCCCCAATTGAGCACGTGTGGGATATGATGGGTAGGAGATTGCTCAATTTGCAACGTCCTCCTCAGACTCTGGAAGCACTTCGAGAGGAGTTGGTGGTTGCCTGGAATGAGATACCACAGGAGGACATTGACTACCTGATCAGAAGCATGCCTAGGCGTGTTGGAGAATGCGTAGCACATCAGGGTGCATCCACACATTATTAAAGGTCAAAGGGCTTTAAAGCAGTGCAATCATTTTGAAATTTTTATCGTTTACTTATTATGCTTGATTAAGTACTTATACAAAATTTTATTAAAATAAAACCATTTAAACTGGGTGTTCGGATTTATATGTCACTTAGTATATTTTTGTCCTTCATAGTTCTAGTTTTTTTCCATTCATTTTTTATTGAAGGGAGTCTAATGAATTTATTTATGTATAAGTGAGTATTATGCTATAATGAATTATGTATACAGGTTGGTGTATTAATATAATAAGTTAAAACAAATACAGCACAATATTAATTTGTCTATATACTTTTGTCTATTACTGTAGATGTATCGAAGCGATGCCGGTAGTTCTAGTGTGACCCACCAAAAACCGTGAAACGTCGTTTCCGCCAAAGCGACAGTTGCTAACATCATTTCATACATTTTTTGCAGTGTATCAGTTGGACCTTCCAGAAGCGTTACAATTGATACCGAACCGATCTTTCACTGCACACTGCACGTTGTTATGTATTGGAACCTGTTAAAATACTACTTATGTTTATTTATCTCTTTAGATTTAATTTGTGAAATGAGCTACATTAACCATAAGAAAACAATTACTTTCAATTCTTTTGGCAAAAACTATCGCTATTGTCGGTTAGTTTTATTTTTAGGGACTATGTTTTATTACTAAACCGATATTGTCGTTAGTTTTATTCCGAGGTACTTTGTTTTATATTAGGAAGATCAATAAAAGATAAACTTAAAATGGTACACCAATGTCAAGTGAGTTGTTCCATAAGTGCTTTAAAAAAGCAGAATTCCTATTTATATTCCGCCTTCTTATTACTAACTATATAGACAGTGATTTCATCCAAAACTAGAAAACGAGACTGCCAGTTGCCTCGGAGGGAACTCAAAAGTAATAGCTCAACACCTGACCGGTTGATCCCGCACCTATCCGTTTTCATCATGAAACTTAGTTTTTATGAATGTTGTATGGCAGAATAGTTTTTGCACACTGCCTGACAAAAATACGTTTGATTTTAAAAGCATCACAACTCGAGTCGCAATCGGGTTGCCCAGTTGCTTTTGGTAAAAACAGTCCCTTAGGTGTTGCAAACATCCTTTGGTTAATTACAAATGTGACGCGTAGGGCCAATTTCACCAAGGTTGTCAAATCAACAGTCCGTTATTCTCCACCTATAGGGTAACAGTCCGGCAAATACAAAGAATGAGCTTCAAGTTCCAATCAACAAATTTTAGCAACCAATAGCTATGAAATGTTGAAAACAAAATACTGTCAAAGTATGAGATGATCCCGTTTCACCCCCCTGGTCCCAGTGGATTAAACTCCGCCAACTGTTTAAATATACTCTACTATGCTTTGTAAGACTATTCGTGGAGTTTTTCCCAAAATCGTTGCACAACACTTGAAAAAATGCAAATGAAAATTTAAAATTATTTCCATGACGCCAAAAAATAGCTCCGTCGGACAGTAGGGATGTTCGATACGATCCTATATTTAGAAGTCTCAATACATTTCACGAGTATCGTCATCTTTCGATTCGGACTGTGTCAGAAAGAGTGACTGCCATTTGGCTGCGACTCCCCAGCTGAGTGGGGCCGTGGCAAATGCTTGTTCCGGAAGTTGTTGTATCCAGTATACAACTTCTTCCCGTTCAAGTGATTGTCCACGCGTTAAGGAATACCTCAGTACCGATTGCTGGCGGTACAAGTCCGCCAACTGGCCACTTTAGGTCTATTTAACATCACTAACACGTGAAAAGAAGGTGGTAGACAAGGACCAGTCAACCGAGGCAGTACCACCCGCTAGCTTTTCCCAGGGTGTCTTATAAATGTCCGCATGTTTCCACACCTGAGCTATGCAGTCGGTTATCCTCCTAAACAAAGAAATTAATGATAATGGATCCCTCGAGCACTAAGAACTCCGGACGTAAACTCACTCCACTCTCGGAATGTCCGGGTGGAGGGTGGGCTCGAGGGAACAACATCGAAGATAGAATTAATTAACAGCAACATTGATGCTGTCCATCACTACCTGCAATCCAATCGTCCCGCCGTGCTTTTCTTGGCGGAGACAAAAATCTCAGAATCTGCACCGATTAACCATCTTAACTTCCCAAAGTACGAGGTGCACTCTAATCTGAGAAAGAACTGGGGAGTTGTGGCTTTTGTCCGCAGCAGTCTTTCCTGCTCCAGAGATGTTTCTTTGGAATCAGACCGGAAGGACATTCTGTGGCTTCGCCTCAACTCCAAAACATCACCCAAATTTATTTGCTGCCTTTATCGCTCTCCCTCGGACCATAACTGGGATGACCTACTCGAATACCTCGCCGTCCAGATCGACTTCCTGAACATCAATCATCCCGCTTCAGAGGTAGTCCTTCTCGATGATTTCAATGCCCATGATGAGCTTTGGTTGGGCTCAAACAAGACCGACGCAGCAGGTCGTGCAGTCGAAGCGTTCGCTCTTACCCAAGGGTTGACTCAGCTCGTGACGAGCCCTACTTTTTTCCCTCGCATCTCGTCACACGCCAGTAGCCTGCTGGATCTCTTTCTGACCACGTTCCTGTCCCCCCTGGGTAACTCAGACCACGGTGTTGTGGAGGTTAGGTTTTGGTCCGAACCCGCTGTGGCAGCAGAAACTCGTACAGGCCGCGAAACTTGGCATTACGGACATGCCGAGATGTCTTCTCTAGCTTTCCTTGGAAAGATGTCTGTTTCACTGACGCGGATGCGTCGGCTGTCTGTTCTTCGATAACCGAAATTATCCACGTCGGAATGGAGGAATACATCCTTCACACAGTCCAAGTGCCTAGACCAGGGTCCAACGGCTGGTTTAACAAATCTTGCGACGCTGCTCGCTAGCAGAAGATCAAGGCACACAGAACCTTACAAAACCCCACTGTAGAGAACAGACAAGCCGACGTTGAGTCCAGAAACAAATATAAAGCAGCGGTTCGCAATGCCAAAAACCAGCACGATATAAAAGTTAGGCACAGGGTAATGTCGCAGCGCAATGGCAGTCGGTCTTTCTGGACGCTGGCCAAGCAGATTGGAAAGAACTTCTCACACAGTAGCCTTCCACCACGTACGTGTCAGGATGGAATTATTGTATTCAACTCAAAGGCTAAGGCGGAAGTGCTAACCAAGATCTTTGCTGCCAACTCCACCATGGACGTCGCCCCCAATGCAGAAGCGCCGGGTAATTCAAAGAGGTGTGCACCGGAGCTTGCTCCAGTTCTTTCGCGTCTCTTCGAGATATCTTATGAATCCGGCACCTTCCCAGAAAACTGGAAATTTGCTCATGTCCAACCCATCCCAAAAAAGGGATCTAAGACCGACCCTTACAACTACAGGCTTATAGCTCTGCTTTCTGTTTTAAGTAAGGTGATCGAGAGGTGCATAAAGCGCGAGCTTCTGGACTACCTCGAACGTCACGGCTTGATTAGCGACAGGCAGTATGGTTTCCGGCACCAACGATCCACAGTGGACCTCCTAGCTTACGTCACTCAATTGTGGAGTAAACTCATCCAGTCTTATGGTGCGGCTCATGCCGTTGCTCTTGACATCACGAAAGCGTTCGCATTCGCTGTGGCACGCTGCCCTCTTAAGCAAACTTCCATCCTATGGCCTCCCAGAAAAGCTTTGCAGATGGGTGGCTGACTTTATCTCTGGCCGCAAGATATCCGTCGTAATTGACGGGTTCTCCTCTTCATCCCACAACGTCAACGCGGGTGTTCCCCAGGGATCGGTCTTGGCTCCGACACTGTTTCGCTTACATATCAACGACCTCCTTTCCTGCACGATCAACCCAATCCACAGTTTCGCTGATGACAGCACTCTACATGCAGGAATTCAGAGTGACAAGCCGATATCTGCCGCTGAGTTGGAAAAAAGAAGACTAGCGATGACTTTCTCTCTGACAAGAGACCTGGAGGCTATCACTGCTTGGGGACGCAACAATCTTGTACAGTTCAATGCTTCCAAAACGCAGTACTGTACTTTAACGAACAAAAAGCGTCCCTGCGCTCACCAGGTTTTGATGAATGGTCGAGTTCTGCCAAAGAGCCATTCATTTCTGCTGGTCGGAGTCCAGATCACCGAGGACCTGATCTGGCACGAACACATCTCGTCAATAGCTGCAGCTGCTGGGAAAAAGCTAGGCTATTTGTTTAGGGCTAAGAAGTACTTTTCTCCGCATGACCTTCTCACTTTATACAAGGCCCAGATAAGGCCTAGCCTGGAGCATTGCTCACACGTTTGGGGTGCTGCCGCCCCGACTACATTATCCATGCTCGATGCTGTCCAGAGGAGGGTGGTCCGACTGATCGATGACTCTTCTCTAACAGACAGTCTCGGGACTCTTTCGGACCGGCGGGCTGTCGGCGATCTAGCTCTTTTCTACCGTTACACCAACGGGCTTTGCTCCTCAGAGCTCTCTTCCATGATGCCGCCGCGCGATGTGCCTGCCAGACAGACCCGCCTGACTTTGGCGTCCCATCCTAACCGTGTCGAACTTCGTACATACAGAACCGGTCGATACGACCGCTCCTTTGTCCCGAGGGTGTCGAGATTGTGGAACAATCTGCAAGAGGAGGCTTTTCTATTATAGTTCTATTAACCTTAGGCAGATCAAATATCGTATTAATAAAATTTCTTTGGGATCATCATAGCAGCCGCGGTGTTCCGGCATTTAGGCTTCTGCCTGCGCGGCTGCTTCGATATAAAAAAAAAACATTACCCTGCCAAATCAGACATATGTATCTTTCATCATTTTCAAAGAAATTGTACAAAATCTTCAAATTTGTGAAGTTAGCGAGTTTCACTTCATACGTTGTTACCACACATGCCCAAATCATCAGTTGCTGCCGTGATATTCATCCCGACCACTGCATCCCCACGGCTAAGCGACCTGTATGTTAAATTTATATTGATAGGGCAACGGGTTATGCTATAAATCATGTCACAGTTTTTGTGCACTGATTGCAACGGTTAGATGATACCAAAAATATTTTCATAAATCGGAGATCTTTCCCATTCCGGATCGAACAATCTACCAAAGATGCTTATAATCATGATACCTAGTAAATTTTCACGAAAAAATTCAAAACCAGCAAATGTAAAAGATTCATTTCGCACCCTCCACCACGGGACGTGATTGTCGTTAGACTTGGCAACCCTGCGAGTGACACATAGATATCTCCGCCAGTCAAAAAGACAAACAATAAACATTACTAGTTTTTATGATTTTTGGACTCAAAAGACATTATTTGTGAAACATTTTTCATAATTTTTTGTCTATGTCCATAGTAATTGCATTATGCATCAGGGAGATGTAAGGATTGACACGTCTTACACATATTATCTGTGTTTTAGGATGGAGAGGACATAATGTTTTTATTGCTTTGAAGAAATTCATTAACCCATAAATTAATAAATGATTACTATTATGATGTAAAGGAAGATGAGGAATTGGATGAAATGTATTTTATATTCTATTTTCTTGCAAAATACAGACAAATCCACACTATTCAACAGGTATGTAATGATAACATTCAGTATATTGAAATATATGAAAATTCGAGATTGCCATGCATTAACAAACATCAAAATCTGCTGCCAAATTTAACAGCTAGAAAGTCGACCTATTATTTGCCGCATTCCCATTGGGTTTGGGGATAACTGATAGTTAAATGTAAATTTATAACGGAAATCAAAATACATGAAAGTTGTCCTGTTTTCTCTGTACAAAAGCATCATGTTGGAATCAAAAAGTGGTCTTGTTTATAATACAGTCGAATTTTCACGATTTTATTCAATATTTTAATAGAAATCACTGATATTCAGAGACCTTTGACAGCTTGTGTCAAATTGCATTTCGATAAGGTATTTTCCCATTGGTCCATAATATTAATGTTGGTGAAACTGGGCCTAAGTCTTACAAATTGGTTAAGGCTTTCGCGGCCAGTTGATAAACAGTCTTGATTCGCGTCTAAAGGAGCACAAAGCAAATTGCCGGCTAGGACAAACTGAGAAGTCCGCGGTAGCTGAACATGCACTAAGCAATGGGGACCACAGGATACACTTTGGGAGCTGCAGTTTGCTGTCATCAGTCAACGGCTATCACAATAGACTGGTCAGGTAAGCTATCGAGATTCACAAATATCCAGATAACTTCAACAGGAAGGAAGAGACCCTCAGACTCAACCCGATCTGGCACCCGATCTTCAGAAACGCCCGAGCAGTGCCGATCGACATCCCGAAGTCAACCGAAGCGGAACAAGCCACGTCACCTACCCTCCGGTATAAATACAATCTGCGCAAGAGAAATCGTCAGTCTACATCCAGCATCGGAAATGGAAGGACCTCTGAGGAAGCTTGCCAGTCGTGTTAGCGAAACGTTAGGAAGAAATTCCAACCGACGACGGCCTTTAGACCCGAATCAAGACAGCAGTTTACGCTTAGTCTTGCTGAAATTCATATTCTACATTTTCCAAGATACTGAATCGTAACAACTATTGAAACAGAAAAAAGTGAAATTATTAAATTTAATATCTGAATACAGTATTTATGCATGTCTATTCTCACAAAAACTAAAAATATTCTTTAAATAATTTGTGTTTTGGAAAAGTTTTACTTACGTTCCGTTTAGCGACGACCTGTTTAGAGACTTCTTGCCTTCTAACGATTTTTCTGGTGAATCAAGTTCAATCACAGACCTAAGGAAGAAAAAATATCATAAAAAATTTGATTATAGTCTGTTTAAACCTAACGCCACATGAACTGTAACTCAAGAAAAAAATAAAGTTGTTGGATCTAATATGAAGTTTTACATGTAATATCTTTTTATATAAAGGGCATATCAGAATAATGCTATCGAATGATTACCTTATACATTTTTAGTTAAAATGATAGTCGCTTTTTTCTTATTCCAAATATGTTCATTACATTGGTCAAAACATTCAATTTTGCGAGTCATTAATTGAGATGTGTATCCCAAGTTTAAACCCGTCTGCTTCTAGTCGCCGATGCAGTGGTATCGGCCCAGATACATATTGTTCATTTGGAAGAAGAGGGTTACATCTCAAAATTTTTCATTTTACGTTTTATTGCGGTAATAATTCAGAAAATGTGTTTACATTCATGTGGAAAATGGTTACATGTGTAGTTGTAGTCATAGTAGAGATAGCAGATGTAACCATTTTCCACATAAATGTAAACACATTTCCTGAATTATTGACGCAATAAAACAAAAAATGAATTTTTTTTTAATGTAACTCTGTTCTTCCAAATCAACGATAACAGCTATTCAAAGCAGCCGCGGTGCTCTGGCATGTAGGCTTCACCTGCGCAGCTGCTTCGGTGTAAAAAAACAGCGATATACCAAGAAGACGAAGACCTTGAAGATCTACTGGAGGAGAATGAAACCCAAAAACCTGAATTTTGTGGGGAAACAGTGCCACAATTCAACAGCTACAAATTTTTGTAACATTTTCGGGCGAGCAAGTGGCAGAAGAAATTTCAATGAAATTCCATTTTATATACCTGGCATAGATAATAACTTTCAAGAACCATAATTAATACTATTTTTGTGAAAATTTGAAAATTTTTGTTATAGTTCCAAAATGCGAAATTACTCGATTTAAGACTCACTTCTATATGTATTTTCGTAGTCTCAGTTCTTTTTGTCCATGTTGGGAACTTTGTGAAACATATAGCTATGTAAGAATACCTTGATAATAATTGTAGTTATGTGTCGTTTTAACTTATTAGTGTATTCAAAGACGTTATTAAATCCTTGTATTTTTACTTCTTTCTTCTAGTGAAAGTCTGGATATACAGAGTGTTTCAAATTCGGCACTCACTATTGGAATCTTGGAAACTGTAAGGGATTCGAAGTCGCTTAACACGTTCACTGCGAACGACGCTGATCCGCGTCCGACCGATGTTTAACGAAAGGCGGCGGGCGCGGATCCGCGCTTCTGGCTGATATAAACTGACAAGACTGTGGTGTTCTGAAATTAATTAAAGAAACATCTTTAATAGGGTTTCAAGACATGTTTCGTGTTACTGCACGAAAAAAAAAAACGAGATAGAAGAAGAAAATGTATATATGAAATAGTTTTCAATTACACAACGCACATCCAATAGGCTTACGACGCGAATCCGCGCTTCGCTTGTCAGGCGCCTAAAATCGTTCAGCCGCTACCGTGCGCGCGGCGCGAGGCAGGTCGCAGCGAACGTGTTAAATAGGGTAGACAACAAAATGACACTGAGAAACTTTCGAAATTCAAGGTACTTCCGGAGAATGACGGGAAAACTGAATTTTCCCAAAATCGTTTTGATTTTTTTCCTGACTATATTTATACTGGGATTTTAAAATAAATTGCATAGTAACATTGCCATGTTTTCTCCTCTACATGAAGGCATAATCAGAATTTCTATACAACAGTTCGTCTCTTGTCCTCTACCATCAACTTTATTATTTCTTCAAGACGCTATATTGCATTTTGCACATTGACGTTGCCAAACCTTTGTTACTAAAAAAAAGCAAATAATTTCTTAGGAATGCCTTGAAATTATCGATCAGATATTTGTTTCGCTCACTAGACTTAACCCAAAATCTCTTTTTTTACTGACTTTATTTGAGATGGGATTTCAAAATAAATTGCATACTGTCATTGTTACTTATTCTCCTCTACAAGATGGGGTAGCCAAATTTTCAATTCAACATGTCTTCTTTCGACTTTCATTACCAACTTTGTTTTTTATGTGGACGCTATTTTGGAATTTTGTACATTTAAATGGACTTTTCAGCCCTAAATTGAGTGATGTATTTCGTTAGTTGACCATAAATTTGTTGTTGGATGAAAATTATAAGGAAATAAAAAGACATGGTGGAACCTGAACACGAAATGAAAATGTTATCGATGGTAATAACAATAACCAAAAATAAGCAGAGATCTTCACAGTCTTCGAAACTCTGTTGCTATGCAAACAAATGGAATCTGATAATTTCCAGGCCTACCTAGGATCTTCTGGAATAACTAAGGGTTTGCAATGTTAATGTATGACATATACATTTTTGAAATCAGAATAATAATTCTATTCATGTGTGTAAAAATCCAATATGGCGTCTATAAGAAAAAATATCAGTTGATGCTGGAGGACAAGAGACGAAACGTCATATTGAAATTCAATTTGTCTTGCAGAGGAGAAAATGTGGCGGAGTTGACGTACAATTTATTTTGAAATCCCACCACAAATAAAGTCGGGAGAAGATTAAAACCATTTTGGGAAATTTCGTTTTTTACGCCTCTTTTCGGAAGTACTTTCTATTTCAAAGCTTTCTAAGCGGCATTATGCTGATTATCTGAATACGCAACTTTGCCCTTACTTAAGCGACTTCGTATCCCCTAAAGTTTCCGAGATCTCAATGGTGAGGGTCGAAGTAGAAATACCCTGTATAGGGATAATATTATTTTCACCCCAGCAGAAACAGTCGGCCACTCCATCTCCGTGGACACCCGTGGAAAAAAGCTGTATCACAAAATCTCCAGAATTCGTTATTTTGTTTTTCTTTTCATCAGCTTTGGGTTGGAAATACATAGCTAGAATAGATAAATACTGTTTGTGCATACACTTCGAGGCTGGGCGACAAGGGAATAGGGAACAAAGACCCTACTATCCGAGTCATTCATCAAAAATTTTGTACATTTCTCATGCATGATCACTGCAGACGTTCATTCAGAATTCTTACTATTTACTTCTTCAACTTGTCATTCGATGTGTGGAATCATATTTCTTCTCTCGAATTTATGTTTATACTTTTTAAATGAGAATTGAATGGGAATTACTGAGTAAATCTCTTGACATTTTTGGGTGCTGTTATTTTTACTAGAAAGTGTCCGATGTTTAATCTAGAGGAAAAGTCGCACACATTTGAGCAGTTGGACGAAACATCCTGGATCATTCCAATGAACATACCCCAACTTTTCCAAAATTGTCTACTTCATTCTGAAAAAGTTTACATTCGAATAATTATTGTATTTGATTTCGAGCTCTGACAATTTACTGGCAAATTATCTGCTTGACAGTCATCAAACGGTCAGAAGTTTCTGTATGAACAGAGCGGATTACTTGTCGGTAATCGGTCTTACCTTCCTCAGCCAACTCGTAACGTTCTCATGAACGCATTATATACAGTCAGCGACGTGTCAGTGACAGCTGATTAAACTACGTCATGACTTGTCGCCGACTATCAGTTTGCTGATTGTCAGCAAACAGGCTGTATGAACAAAGCATAAATGGGACATATAATTCAAGCTTTCAACTAAAGTAATGAAAATAGGTATAATAAACCATATATATATATATATATATATACAGTAATGGACAAAAGTATATAGATAAAAATAAATATTTACCTAAATACCTATAGAAAACGAATTCATACTTTATTGCTCCATAAACAAATGCGTTATTAGTAGAAAAACTAAATTCCTTGTTTTTACATTATCTGCAATGAACACAATACAAGTCTGAATATAAGCACTTTTTTATGAGGGACAAAAATATGTAGACAAATTATTTTCAACATTAGTACAGTTTCGTGTCAGAAGAGGAATGGTTTGTGTTCATCAAGTATTGTGGAATAAGTTGAGTGATTTTAAGACCATGCCGTGTCCAGAAATTTCTTTCGATGTGATAACTAAGATCATTGAGTTACACAAAGATGGTCAACGTCAAGTCGACATTGCCAAAAATTTGAAGCTGAAGCGTAAAGCAGTTTGGGTAATATTGGACAAATATAAACAAAAAGATCTATTGGAAGCCTCTAAGAGAAGTGATCAGGCCTAGAAAACTACATGCTAGATCAGTTAGATTAATAGAAGTAATTTCGTCCAAAGATCCGTTTAAAACCCCAAGACAAATAAAAGCCGAAATCGAGACAAAAGGAATTGTCAGTGTTTCTAGGAACACTATAAGTAGAAGATTAAATGATTTGAAGTTATTTGCACGTCGCCCGAGTAAGAAGCCGCTAATCTCGAGGAAAAACCGTAAGGACCGATTATAATTTGCACGGTTGCATCTTAATTGGAGCATCTGTGACTGGAAGAGGGTATGTTTCAGTGACGAATCCAAGTTTAATATGTTTGGATTTGATGGTGTTCATTACGTTAGACGTCCTAGTGGACAAAGACTGAACCCCAAGTACACTTTGCCCACTGTCAAACATGGAGGGGGTCGGTTATGGTTTGGGGGTGCTTTTCGGGGTTTGGGATGGGACCTTTACATAGAATAGATGGCATTATGGATAAGTCTGAATACACAGACATACTAAAGCATGTTATGTTACCCTATATGGAAGACAATATGCCCTTAAGATCAATCTTCCAGCAAGATAATGACCCGAAGCACACTTGAAATCTCGCAAAGAAATTCTTTCTCGATGAAAAAATACCAGTTCTCAAATCTCTTCCGATATAAACCCCATTGAAAATCTATGGGAATACTTAGAAAGCAAATACGAGATAAAAATTATTCAAACAAGGATGAACTTTTTGCCGCTTTAAAGCAAGTGGAGACAGATTGATAAATCTTATATCAAGAAACTTCTACAATCTATGCCGAGAGGATGCTAGGATAGTAATGGTTATGCTTCAAAATATTAACACAAATATGCTTGGTTTTCTATAATTCATTGAACTTTGCTTCTTTTTTCTATAATTGTTTTGCTTTGTCTATATATGTTTGTCCTTCATAGTTCCAGTTTTTTTCAATTAATTTTTTATTGAAGGGAGTCTAATGAATTTATTTATGTATACGAGTAAGTGAGTATTATGCTATAACGAATTATGTATACAGGTAGGTGTATTTATAAAACAAGTTAAAAAAGAAATACAGCACAATATTAATTTGTCTATATACTTTTGTCCATTACTGTATATTTAGAACTAGAAAAAAGCGAATTCGTCTACAAGTATACAGGGTTCTCCATCAAAAAATTCGTTAGCTTTTTTCTGAGAGATGCTGTATATATAAGATACCTGTTGACTGAAAAACTTTACTATACCATACCTCTTTTGTATACAAGGTTTTTTTTCAAAAAGTTTCTGCAAAAAAGTTCAAAGAGGGATCAATTTATAGCCGGGCATATCACGTAACATCCAAAAACCTTCTCAATTTCGAAATTTTTCGCAATTACATACTCGCCAATAGAGAATATGCATGCGATTCAAATATTGGTTAATTATTTTTTATTAATCTCGCTACAGAATGACATCACCATTTCAAATTGTGACCAGCCAACACTTTACTGATGTCCGTCCCATTTAAAATGGAGGGCCTGCCTTTGTTCTCACTGTCACTGATTGTCAACCTACATAATATAATGGCAATAAATAAACAACAAAAAAAACAAGGGCATAACCCAAAAACTAGAAGATTGTTGGATCTAATGTAATTAAATCGCAAGTGAAAAAAAATCTTAGTATAATCTTTTAAATCTAACTAAAAATTCAATTACTTCTTGGAAATACATTGTACCTCTTCATAATTTTACACCACTTTTCTCATATCTTAGCATCTCACGGAATATGGAAAAAAATAGTTCATCTGGGACTTTCCATACCGCATTTTTGCACATGGGTGGAATGCTAGCGTTCGTTCTTCAACCATGCTTTTCTTTTTTGAAATAAGATTTGGCGATATAAAATAAAACCTTCGGAAACTTAGCAGCAAATCATTATATCAAATTAACAAAAAACGCAAACAAATGACATCATCAGTTGTGACGCCACTGTGAAGCGCGCCAATAATAGCGAGTTTTAAACCGACGTCATTGGCATTGTACTTTTAAATATCCATTTGAAAAAATAAAGACATTCATGAATATGTGCTTACGTAGGTAATCGAAAGAAAAAAAAATAAAGGCATGCATATTTGGCATGAGAAGTAGCATAGTGAAATAATCAAACTTGTTACAAATGATAGTATTCTTACATCTGGGATGAGTGCCTCAAGCTGCTACGTCTTCTCTGTACAGGTGACTTAACTCTGGAAAAAAAAACCTATTATAATATCAATGCGTCTACTTACAAGTGATATTTCATTGAAATATTAAAATTATATATTCTTATTCGATAATCATACTCACTTCAAAGTAGGACTCTTTGTAGGGCTCTTTTTCTGTGCCAACACATGTATAGTATTTCTGGAAGATATACCGGGTACAGCATTTCCTGTTTGTACTTCCTGAAAATATTTCAGTGAATGATGTATTTGTAGTATAGAATGTATAGTTTCAGGTAACAGTTCATAGGTATTGTAACTGCCTGGACATACCGACGTTAAATGGACGCGCTGCGAAACAACGCGCGTACTACATGCTGTTAATACGTGACGCGCTTCGAAGCGCATTCAAGTATACGGTGAGGTTCAAATTTGGCTGACGTAATGTGTACGAGAGAGAAGCGTCCAATATGTAAGAAAGAGCTAGCCGATGGCATCCGTGACCTCGTCAGTCGGACTGCTAGGCAACGAAGTGCTTCTATCTTTCTAACTCACGTTTTGCACGCTTATCGCGCTACTCTCTTGTACCCATCACGACGTCAATGGTACGTATGGTCAATTTTACACACTACATCTACGTCTTTTAATTACTTTCGTATGCAAAAAACACATTTGTTGTTTTTTCATCAACATTAGTAAACAAAACATCAGTTTTTTTTTCATTTTATAATAACTCAAACATCTTAATTTTTATTGTTGTCTTTATAATCTTGGCTAGAAGTGTCCTATATAATGTATCGTCTTTAACGTCCAATCTTCTGTCAGTTAATGTTTTGAATGGGTGGAGTTTTTTAATTACTTTTGCATGTCAAAATACTCATAATCAAAGAAAGCCTATGTAATATCAATTCAAACATTGTATTTATTATTGCTGTCCTTACATACTTATGTCCCACACAATGGGTCGCCATTAACGTCCGTTTTTTCAGACAGTTAACATTTGAAATGGGTAGTAAACTACATGATAAACTTACATCACACCGTAAATTCTCATTTTCATATAGGAATATCTTTCCAAGAACATCTATCGCATCTTGATGATTTAACACATGCATCTTTTTCACTGGCCTGTCATTTACTTTAACCGTATCATCACCAGCTTTGTTGACTAGTGTGGCCTAGAAATTAAAAATTAATGATCATATATTGATTCAAACTGCTTCGAGTTGTTCACTATCATATTTTATAAACAAATTGTATGATTGAAATAAGACAGCCCAAAGTGCCATCCATTGTCAGAATCGACCACTAGCTTCATGAAACTGAACTCTGTCATAGGCTGACAACCTTATACCAATAGGATTTAATTGTTCACTTGGTTTTCAAAACACGATTTTTAATGCACGGTTTTTTATAACTAGCATGACGCCAAAACTTTGCAGTAGACGACGCGATGACCCTTTTAGCGCACCACTGACATCAATAGGACAATAATTGGCGGCACATAAAGAACCATCGAAACTTGTTTTCACATAGTTGGTCAACATTACTCTTTTTGGAACTCAGTAGTTTTTATGCTCTGTACTATGACGTATTTTTTGTATTTCAATTAGTAATAGAAACACCATTATAGGTAATTTGTGATCAACTCTAAATATGTACGTTATTAAACTTACCACTCCATTTTCATCTATATAAATAAAACAATGCATGTCCCGCAACCGTTTATCCGCAATTTTTAATCGGATATCTGCATTATCTCCTCCGCCAAATGTAACCTGCCCAGGGCTTAGGTCGAATGGAACTGGGTATCCATCTTTTTTCCTGATAAGAATCAGACTGCCAAAGGTATCCCCATCGATGGAAGTAGAAGAAGCCATAATCCTAAAAATCAAAATGATACCTGGATTTTGACAGTCACTCTGACGTCTGCGATATTACTGTAGAAGGCATTAGTAATTTACTAGGAGCTAGCTCATACAGTAGGATGTTTGGGAGCATTGCGCGGGCCAGCAACGTCGGCGAATCGTTGCATTCACGTCTGTTAACTTAATGCTGCGTTCTGCTATTTTAAAAGTTAGCAGCACCCGATGCCACAGCCAAAACGATTGGTACTTCTCATATCTTTTTAGCCTGGAATTAAGGGCTGAACAATAGTCAAAATAAAAATGGATCAATATCTCATCTATAACATTTTAGGCAGTAATATACGGCTAATTGAGGACTCAAGGATGATCTCAAAAAGCCGGGATAACATATGAAAGTCTCGAAATTTTTCTTCAGACTAACCCTTGAATCCTGGGTGAAGATGTGAAAAAATATTGACAGTGCACCACAACGATCTTAAAAAAACAGATTTACTCTTTTGGTCCACAAATAAATTCAAATCAAAATTTGGGTAACTTCGATCATATTGTTTTTAACTTTTTACTCCAAAATATAGCCTAAAGCGGCTTTAGGATCACCTAAAAGTTTTAATGATATAGTAGATAATTTTGAATATATTTTGACATAAACTTATAGTTTAGTGTCATACCAATTTTCAAATGTTTTTTATAATGAAATACAATCAATGAAATTCACATAATCATCATATATCATTATTAATATCTAATAAAGTACAAATACTTGAGAGTTAATTATAACTTTGTGATGAATATTGAACTCTAATTTCTTCACTGTAGCCAAAATGCAGCGTCATTTCTCATTTGTTGAATCAATTTAATAACGTGCTGCTCCAGTTACAAGCTTTTAAACCCACAGATTATTAACAAGCGATTTACTATTGTATTGACGTTGGTACCTCAATTTTAGAACATTACTATAAAATTAGGACTTAAGATGAAGCTCATGATTACATAAAATTTAAAAAATTTTAACTTGCTGATTCGCTTTGGAATGGTGCTGTAGGCGACGGTTAAAAATAGCAATGCCAATCCTCAGCCTTTTGGAGTGTTGATTTTCGATATATATATATATATATATATATATATACAGGGTGTCCGCAAAGTTGGGGGTTTCCTTTACACGACGTGTAGATCTTGAAAACATAAGCAATTTTTCTTAGTACCATATATACCAATGTCTTAAGGGAACCGAGATAAAGGGCTCTGCAACATCAAAAATATCTGAATACCGTCCTGTATCCGCGACATCCCCCAGTGGTGCTAGGACACTAGCTCAACCCGACGACATAACTGGGTCGGGGTCAGTGTGTCAGGTCAGTATGCAACCTTCAACCGACGGTTACGGTCACGCGTGTAGAGGTAATCACGTAGACGAGAATCCCTCAACAAGCACTAGAGACGTGGCTAGAGAAGTGCAAGTATCAAAAACTAAAGTGTGGCAAACGCTGCGTGAAGAGGGGCTGTATCCGTTTCACGTCCAACGTGTACAAGCCCTTCAACCTGACGATTTTCCAGCAAGAGTGCGTTTTTGTGAGTGGTTGTTGCATCAACATGACAATAATCCGGACTTTTTGAAGTGCATATTGGTGACAGACGAATCTACGTTCACGCGTAATGGGGTGAATAACTTTCGCAATGTTTGGTCAGTAGGAAATCCGCACGCTGTCCGTCGGGCACATTTTCAACAAACATTTTCGGTGAATGTTTGGGCTGGCATGGTGAACGGTATGCTCATTGGACCATTTATTCTCCCAAATCGATTGGACGGGATGCAATACCTAGACTTTTTACGCAACATTTTGCCTTCCTTGTTTGCCTGCGTCTGCTCGGTAGCGCATCAGCTGATTTCATTTTCTGTTGGAGCGGTATGATTTCGGGCAGAGACGTACTTAGCCCTTCTCGTCAACTGGAGAGTGAGTACTTTTTCCTTTATTTTTTTTTACTTGGTCGCCCTCGTTTCACTACACATTACCTTGGTTATTTCTGAAAAGGAAAACCCCAACTTTGCGGACACCCTGTATATATCTGATTTGTATAAATGCTCCAATACGAGTTATTCTTATATGGTTGGAATCAAGTTGCAGCACAAGGAAGCAGTATACTCATCTCCTTTTTGGCTTTAGAAGGCAATTTTTGAGAGATTTGATTTCAGAAATGGATCAAGATTTCTTAGGCAAGATTACGGTGAAAAAGGCCAGACTCATAATTTTGTAGGTCTTAAAATAGGTTTTCAAATAATATAACTCTAAGCGCTGTAGTGGAAATGTTTGTTTTTTAATTTTGTTTGATGGCTTGCTAAATTTTATCAATGATAATGAAAGACATGTTGTTAATGGTGGAGATTATAATGCCGATTTTATAACAAATAGCAGTCACCTAATTTTTTTTACGGATCTAATACGATGTTGTTGAATCAATTTTATAGTGCCCTTCAAGTACCTGTCTTGATAGCTTTTTTAGTGCATATGTAGTCAAATTTTAGGGTATCTGTGCAAAATATGTGATCAATACTGTCAAACTATAAACATTAGCATTCTAATCATAAAAGTGTAAAAAAGCTCATGCTTTTCCTATATTCGAAATTTTTCATAATACAGAAAACTTCTGCCAAAAGTTATTTTGTGATAAGTGGCTGGGAGTATACAATGAATCATCAGTTGATGAAGCTTGGAAACCTTCCATAACATCCTCATGTACTATTTATGTTGTATGTATAATTTATGTTTTCCCTATAGATTGGTGAACATATCTGACAACCAAAATGAAAACTATATTACCACCTGAACTCATTGCACTGAGGAACTATCTCACATTGTTTCATACTGTGGCTGAGAAAAATGACAAGCATAAGGAAATCAGTAGATTCTTAACAAAATTGTACAGTACAGGGAAAAAGTCAAACACAATATGACTAAGAGATAATATTGATCAGCAAATCTGTGAGGCTAGTAACAAGTTAAAGTGCATGTGGCAAGTAATTAATAGTGTACAAAAGAAAAGCAAGTAATTAATAGTATAAAAAAGAAAAATCCTAACAGAAATGTTGTTATTACAGATGATGAAGTAGAAGTTAGTTCATGAGCCATCTTACCAAATTCAATGAAGATTCATTATTGCAAATAAAAACAAAAATTTCGTCTAGACTTTGCTGGAAATTATATAGATATGTGTCCAAATCCTTTGTACATGTCACCAGTATCAGAATATGATGTAAGGTTACCTAATTGTCCAGCTAAAGAATTCTAATTCAAGTGGATATGGCATCTCCAATAAATTTCTTAAAAAATGTGTTTCAGAGATCTGCACCGCTCTGTCTTATCTAATAAATTTGGGGAACTTTTTCAAGCGGTCTTAAATTGGCCTTGGTTATTCCAATTCATGAAAGGAATGATCCCAATGATCATGCTAATTACAGAGGTATAGGCTTACTACTGAGTTTCTCTGTTTTCGAGCTCAATATGAAAACAGTTGGTTGATTTTTGTAATAGAGATGAACTGATCTCAAGAAATCAACATGGCTCTGTCAATGGTAAAAGCACTGAAACTGCATTATATAAATTAAAAATAATATTAATTAATGCTCTTGGCAGAAAACAACAAATATGTGGCATTTTCTTAGAATTGTGTTTTTGATTATGTAGGTGTTATGTTGCTGTTTTAACTGTATTGGTATGGAATTTGTGGTCTACCCTTACAACTCTTTTGATGATATCTTGATACACTATAGCAATATGTCTCAATGGGATAAAAAGTGAGACAAAGGAACCTTAGCCCTTTCCTATTTTTATTGTATGCTAACGACCTGAATGCATTTCTGCCCAGTGTAAAGTGGTATCAAGTAGATGACACTAATTTACTAACTGATGTCAGCAATGATGACTTTACCATGAAAACCAGTAATTTAAAACTATGCACAAATGAATGGATTCATACTGAATGTAGAAATGACACAAGTCATGAAGGTTTTGCTGAGAGATAACCCTGATTTCAGTGTTCACCTAAAACCTAAATGATAATTTGGCAATTCAATCTTCTCTATCCCTTAGAATGTTAGGTATAACCACTGACCATCATTTATGTTGGGAGCCTCATGTGGAATCACTGTAACATGTTATGGCATTTTATGCTGGGGATGTAGCTCATCAATAGATACAGTCTTTTTGCTAGAGAAAGATGTGCTCAGGTGTATTGAAAATCTACATTCGCGTCAATCATGCAGAAATTACTTTAAATCTCTGAATATTTTATACAATTGTGCATAAAAAAAAATCAATATTTTTGAAGCAAGATGATGACCATAATTACAACACTAGAGCTAATGATTTTTTGACCTAAACACTACACAAGTACTTCTACAGCTTGAAGGAGTTTTACCCTAAAACTATATTTACAATTTTTTTATTTCCTAAACTGAGGATGTTTCTGTTCACCAATTTGTCTGAGTTTGACTTGTTATAGTGCCTACTACTATTTAACAGGAAAATAAATGGATTATTATTACAGGTATATAAGTTATTTCTGCACTTAATCATTGCAACGGTTTATGTTTCTTTTGTGAAAAAATCTCTACATTGATCTTCACCCTCGATTTGGAATTTGTCACAATCAGGTAGTAGGCCCAGAGTATGAATACAAGGAATCCCTAAATATACATATATATTAGGTATATATTTCTATATGATAAATTCAAAATTTATCTATTAATTTTTTCAGAACATGTTGTGTTTATTTGGGTTCTATCTCAGGCTGGAATTGGTGAAAACGAATTAGCAGACCAAAATGCTAAAAAGGCTGCAACTTCAGATGGTCTGATAAACCTGAAACTGCCAGTGGCCAATATCAAGATGGAACAGGAAATGGCAAGCATCTCAATTGAAGCTGCTAGAGCCGAAGTCAAATTTAGGACCAATGGTAGCAGTAACCTCCAATAGAAGACACCAAGTGCTGTCCACACAAGGGTTATGCATGAATTTCACATCTTAGGTGAACAGGAGCCAAAGTGTGAAGTTTGTGAGTTGGTTTGACCGCCATTTGTCAGTTAAGTGCCCTTCAATGAATCATCAAAGAGCAGCAGCCAACAATATTAGGGATAACCTTAATGACATTATAAGCTCAAACTGCAATATAGATAATATTGCTTAATATCTTAAGGACATATACGAGCCCCTTCCCACTTCAGTTGGCCCAACTATTGAAATCTTAGTTTTTTTCTTATCAAACACAAATAATAAAAATGTAGCAGGGTGTTATAAGTTTAAAATATTAAAAATGAATATTTTGATAATATATAGTAGAAAACACCAACTTTGTCACTCCCTAATCAAATTTGCAGCATAAAAATAACATATGTTGCAATTACAGCATATCAACCAATTTTCATTTCAATACAAAATAAGTCTATAACGCATAGGTGGCTGTGAAAAATAAAAGCCATGACAATCGTTTTTATTAATCACAGCTGTCAGAATACATTTAAAATAGTGTTGGGTAGTTAAGGTTTTCAAAATGGGTAGAGGAAAGGTTATTAGTGAGAAAATTCGGTTACTGATAATTAAATTTATGGGAAATCAAACTCAGAAATTGCAACTTTGTTAGACTTATCGCGTTACAGTGTGAGAAATATTGTTAGAAGATATAACGTAACTGGTTCAGTTAATATTAAGCCACAATATGTGAAAAAAAGTAATATCACAAATGCAGACCGAAGAGCATTAAGAAGAATAATCGTGTAAAACAGGCATGCCAATTATTTACAATTAAGTGCTCTGTGGAGTGACTCTGTTGGAAGAAGAATTTCGAGGTCCACAACTCATAGAGAGGCCCACAAACTGGGATTTAGGACTTGCAAGGTAAGTATTCTGATAAAAAAAAGTGAAGTAAAAATCCTAAAGTTGCACAACTTGTTTATAGGCCAAAGAAAAGCCACTATTAACTCCACTGCAAAAGAAAAATCAGCTTAGATGGGCTAAAGAAGATATACAATGGACACCTCAACAATGGTGTGCAATACAGTGGAGTGATGAAGCCCGATTCGAAGTTTGTGTTGGTGACAGTCGCAGTAGAGTTATTCGCAAAAAAAATGAAGCATTCCATGTTGACTGTCTGAAGAGAAAAGTGAAATTTCCAGCATCCATTATGGTCTGGGGCAGTATGTCATCAAAAGGAGTAGGAAAACTTCATTTTATTGATGGAAATGTGGATACAAACAAATATTTGGCAATTTTAGAAGAATCGCTTTTACCAGTGTTGGAACAATGTTTGACATCCGGCCAAGATTTTGTGTTTCAGCAAGATGGTGCAGCATGCCATACCTCAAAAAAGGCTATAAAATGGATTGAAGAAAATAATGTACCATTTTTGAAATGGGTTTCTAGTAGTCCAGATCTGTCACCTATTGAAACTTTGTGGCACGAGATGAAAAAGGTTCTATGACAACATTCTGCTCGTACAATCACCAAACTGAGACAAAAGCTTCAAGAAATATGGGATTGTTTTACTCCAAATTTTTGCCGAAACTTACCCCAAAGAATTTCAGCTGTAATAAAAAATAAAGGTGATGTTACCCAATGGTAATCTTTCAATTGTTGCTTTGTTAACTTCGCGCATTTAATCGCACATTGTTTATTTGTTCAGATGATCTATTAGTTATAGCTCTAAGTGATTTCAAATATGTATTTTTTACGACTAGAGTGTATCTAAAATGTTTTTGAGAAAATAAATTGTTTTAAAATAGATAGTTTCGTCATGTTTAGTTTATAAAGGCATATCTTGGTACAAATCTTGTAGTGGGCCAACTGAAGTGGGAAGCGGCTCGTATATGTTACACAAACTGTAAACAGAACCAGCTGCTAATAGCCCAAAGGGCAAAGTGTATTTTTGAAAATATAAAAAACACCAATTTTTTTTATCGACGATGGATTTTAAAAAGATTATTTTGGTTAATGAAGCACTAATAGCAATTAGCAATACTTTTTGGTCTCTGTAAAATTAGAACATATTCAAGTAAGTAATAGAGTAATGAAGAAAAATTGTCCTATTATTGAGGGTAATAGGAAGCTATTAAAATTATTATTATATAACAAAAAAAGATGCTAAATAATAAAGAGTACACAATAATCAGTCTGAACCAAATTCAGATATTAAAAATTATTAACTGCATACCTTTCCAAAAATAATATTACACTGATTTCTATAACATGACAAACACGTTTTCTTATGGTTTGGATGAGATATTGGGATAGAAAATTGAGTAAGACAGTGACTAGTTGCAACTCTGAACAAACCATTACAGCTTTTAACAACAAATTGATGAGTTAGATGTAAGTACCTATCTGATTATATGAGATACCTAATGCAAGACAAACTGGCACAGCTTGAGTTCAAGAATGGTCCAATAGGTTTTTAGAAAGAACTCCAGAAAGCTATTAGTATAGGAAGATTATGTGATAAAAATTATAACATTCAAAATCTTATATTTATAGATTTACATGTGAAGCAACTTTTAAAAATCAAAAAAATAACCCTAGATTTGTTAAAATGCTAGTATAAACTTATAAAAACCTAATTGATGATATGTAACACAAATGAAAAAAATAACGTGAGCTAACTTTGTCAATTTTAAATCGTAACGTATTTTTGGGCAGGCGTTGTTATCAACTCTGGAATTATGTTTATAATTAATTTAAACAGGAAACGTCGAAGTGGTAGTAGCTTAAATCAAAAAAGAAGAAAGATACAAATGAGGAAGGAATATGCATATTGAAGGCACATACTGAATGTTGTATTATCTCAAATGAATGGAATGCATCCAAAAAAAGTACGAGTTTCGAATCTTGGTTGATGAGAACTTTGAAAACAACAACAGTTTGTGAACTAAGTTTCTACATATAAATGATATTCATGATGTGACAGCTTACCTTACAAAGGGGAGTAATTTATAAAAAGTTCACTGTTATTTACACTTCAACAAAAATATTAAGCAGGCGAAAAGCGTGAAGCACAGCCCAGGCGACGTTATACGAAAAAAGACGCGACCCACAATCGGCAAGAGGGGGTCAGGACCGAGCAGAAGGCTTCAACCGACAATAATCAAATTGACACTGTTGCCAGCTCTACGCTTCACATTATGAAATAGAGTACGAAAGATGTAAAATAACGTTTTTTGAGTTAAAGCATGACGCGCACCGAAACGCGCATGTGACGTTTGGAATAAATATCATCTTAATTAATTAACAGATAGATTAGACTATTAAGTATTATTTGATGTATATTCGATAAAACAGGCACGTATATTATCTACTCGTAAGAGCTGGAACACGTTTGGAGATCTTGGTCGAGGTCTCACATTAAATATTGTCTTTATAACTATTTTAGATATCTCAAAGTATTTTTATTTATTCGAATAGTCTGTAAGGGATCTTTCTTATTTTACATTTATGGTAATCAGTGAACTGTGACTAGTTGGCTGTTTGGGGCACAGGGAGTGAACAGTCAACTGTCGAGAAAAGCATCAATTTGACATTTATTATACAACTGTCATTGCGACATTATGGCTTGATGTATTTAACTTGTTCAGTTCTTTTGAGAATAACAGAACGCATACACCCAGAGTTTTCACCTTATACCTATAGTTATAAACACATCACAAGAGATGGCGCCACCAACTCGGGCCAATTTTTTACACCGGCCTTTCTTCTAACTGAAACTTAAAGGAGAAATCATTGAAACTTTGAGTAATCTGAGATCCTCTAGTATTATTTTCACCAGTACCCTTCACAATTAGGAAGTTTCGTATTGTCAAAAATACTAGGTACTAGTTTCACCTGCATCTAACAGTATAATTATTGGTATCTTTGAGAAATCTGAAGGGATTGTCTGGATATCTAAAATTTAAGGAAGTTATAACCTTTTTGTACTGACGCTGCCGGACGATGCAACGGCCCTTGCATATTGCATTCATCCTTAGCGCTTAGGCTGACCAGTCGCACAGACTACTGTATAATATTATAGACATACAAAAAATGAAATGGAAGTACCAATTCCACTAATCTTCTAATAAAGGTAAACGTGATAATGGTTAATAAAAAGACTGTGTGAAACATCTTATTCTTTGGCAACCATCAACATTTATAATTAATCCACACGCGATTGACGTCACAGTTGTTGTTTCAGACTTGCTAATAACGAACTGCGAACTTGATATCGATGTTCCCATATAGTCCGCTCCAGTACGCACACCCCCTTCCAAGATATTGATTTCGCGTATTATGTCGAAGTACGTTTTGTAATAAAGTGCTCTAGTTATGCACCACCTAAGTATTGCTTTGTTTGATCTGTCCAGATGCCGTGTACGTTCAAGTGACTCTCGTAAGAAATTCAGGCTGCACATACAAGTACTTGGCAAACGGCACCTGTATTACGCAACGTAAAAAGTGACATTAAGGGAGTTTTCGCATAACGCTTAGAGAAGCGACGTAGGAGCCTACGCTATCCGGTAAAGCACATTACGTACGAGTAACGAGTATACGTTATGTTAATCGGTTGTGGATACTTTTCGCAACAGCATGAGAAATAACGTGGACATAACCTTAAATTTGTGACCTTAAAGCTGTACCCTACAATGCTACAACCTCAATCCTTTGGCTGTAAAGGTGTCTTTGACGAAATAGATGTACAAGAACTTCTTGATTTGGCCGCTATAGGGGCAGTGAACAACGAGGAGTTGGAGACTGGGATTTTGCACAGCATTCTCAACAGACTAGTTCCCCGTTCGCTTGACTTCTTTCGCAGTACACATAATACAAACTTTATGAATAAAATGAAAACCACAGGCCAACCGATTTTTTTTTCAAATTAAGAAAAATCACCCATTAACGGCACCTAACCTCAAATCATAACGATCATCGCCCGATTGGTTCCGAGTATCCACGAAACGATCATATACCGCCTCGCGCTAAGTGTTCTCAAATTACGCTAGGTGGTAACGTAATTAGTGCCCGCTATCATGAAACCCACAACTGAGCATGCGTATCTGTCAAAATAACGTGCCTAGAAAATACCGCAGCACGTTAAGTGGCACGCGAAAACTCCCTATTATACGGATTTTTCATGAGATTATATAGGTTTATTACGTAATAACTCTGCGGGCAGCTTTAGTATAAAAATCCAAACATTACCGCGCTAAGCTGAACGCTTGGCAACGGCGGATTCAACGTTCTTTCTGATTGTATTCTCAGATGGCGCGGCAGTGTCGTATCCATTAGTCCTATCCTATTTGAAAATGGTCTAATAACCGTTAATAAGACACTTTCTGGGATTCCATTCTGTGCCCCTGTTCTTGAGTTTGAGGGAGTAGAAATTGTGAAAGTGGCAAAAAGTGGGCGTGGACAAGAAATTCAGTATTCGTGAAATCAATTCTAGGGAAAAGAGATAGAAATGAATTCACTTTAGGGAGTCGCGATTCCTGTTGGTACCCACCAAGAGAAACTGGAAAAATTACTAGAAAATAGCGCTATATAACCTAAAAATTGACGTGTTTGGCAATGTTATTGTCGTTTCTGCTAAACATATTACGAAAAATGGATAATTTCAATCAATTGACGTATTGGAACGATATTATTAACGAGCATGTAGAGGAAGCAGTTAAGTAATGGCAGATTGGGAGATATATTTTTGGGCACCGAGATCCTTTCATAATTTCGGATCGAAAATTTGTAAAGATGCTTAGGTTGACCAGAGATTTGGAGTATGAATTGCTGGAGATATTGACTCCATTCATACAAGCACCCCCACGAGCTTCGGCAGGTTCGATCACAACAAAGATAAGAGTAGATAATGTTTTAGTCATTCTAAAACAGTAATAAAATCCAGGCGAATAACCAAAATTTCTGTTTTATGTGCCGCGGTTATAATATGGTTGAAGATGACACACGGGTTGATGACGTCAGTTACACTAATCGCTTGAACGCGTTGGTTTTAACCGCGGTTTTGTTGCAAGTTGTTTGTTTTAGAAAAGCGCGTATATAATCTCTCATTATTTTTATTATCACTTAATAATCGGTGCTTTTTCGTCTACAACTGTGTATGGAAAGTTTAAAAAAGAAACCTTACATAATATTCATGGGAGAAATGTTTTTTTTTCAGAATTTTTTTTTGATGAACCATACCAAAATATTTATTGATTCAGTAGAAATGATGAAGAAAGATATTAGCTAAACCGTATACATGTGGACATCATCTAGTGAGTTTATATGGCCATATTTTAATATTCTTGTGGTATATGGCTACACAGGATACTTTGTTAAGCATAGGAACTACATTTAAAGTGTCCCCAATAACAGTAATGAGTATAACTAAAAAGGTGCTCCACCTTATGGTAAAACTGAAGTCAGCCTGTATCAAGTTTTCCAAAAATGAAGCTGAAGTACAATAACAATATCCAATACCCGGCAAAATTCTAACTTGTCACATTTCAAATAATAACCCGAAATATTAATCAAATTCAAGCGGATAACCAAATGAAAATGGTATTTACCATTTTGGGTTGGTATTTACCGATCCGTTCAAGCGAGTGTGGTTATCAGTTTGGTTATAAGATCCGTGACGTCATGAATCAGCTGTTATATGTCATAGTTATCACCGCAAAATTGTGCTATTTACCCAACTCAGGAGTAGTTTTATATTTCAGATTATTATTTGAAATGTGACAAGTTAGAATTTTGCCGGGTATTGGATATTGCTATTGTACTTCAGCTTCATTTTTGGGAAACTTGATACAGGCTGACTTCAGTGTTAGCATAAAGTGGAGCACCTTATTAGTTATACTCATTACTGTTGTTGGGAATACTTTCAATCTAGTTTCCTATGTTTAACAAAGTATCCTGTGTACATATACGACAAGAATATTAAAGTATGGCCATATAACTCAATGGATTATGTCCACCTGTATACATTTTTGCTAATATCTTTTTTCACCGTTTTTTCATCATTTCTGCTAAATCAATAAATGTTTTCTTTGACATGCGGAAAACTTTAGAGAATTGAAAGTTATCATAGCTACAAAACCATGGTTCCATCATTAAAAAATGTTTTCTGGAAAAAAAACATTTCTCCCATGAATATTATGAAAGGTTTCGTATTTAAACTTTCCTTACACCGTTGTAGACAAAAAAGCACCGATTATTAAGTGATAATAAAAATAATCACAGATTATATACGCACGTTTCTAAAATAAACAACTTGCAACAAAACCGCGGTTAAAACCAACGCGTTCAAGCGATTCGTGAAACTGACGTCATCAACCCGTATGTCATCTTGAACCATATTATAACCGCGGCACATAACACAGAAATTTTGGTTATTCGCTTGGATTTGATTATAAAAGTACTCCTGAGTTGGGTAAATACCAAAATTTTGCGGTGATAACTATGACATATAACAGCTGAGTCATGACGTCACGGATCTTATAACCAAACTGATAATCACATTCGCTTGAACGGATCAGTAAATACCAACCCAAAATGGTAAATAGCAATTTCATTTGGTTATCCGCTTGAATTTGATTACCTATACTACAACTATTTAAAACTGTAATGACTCATACGCGTGATCAACACGTGATCAGAGCTCGATCCCGGCTTCCTTCCAGTACAGCCGTATAGCGTACGACATATGTCGTTTCTGTGGCTTTGCGGTGGTCAACAGCACAGACAGAGATGGAAATAATGGCTGATTGTTCTCCGCCGGTAGAACCAATGAAATCAAAGACGCGCCTCGACCGGCAGACTCATAGGCGTCGGCAACGCATTGGAACGTGTTTCGTTGAGCGATCGCATATTGTGTGTTTTTATAAGAATTGTTGTGTGATTGTTATTGTTGTGGTTTCTGTGGTTACTGTATTGGTTATACTTAACCATGGAGAGTACAAATGGCACGAGTGGAAGTACTGAAAGCCAGGGAACAAGTAGACGGCTTCGTAAAGCACTGAAGAGGGACGCGAAAGAAATCGTGCTCAACGTGTTCAATTAT